TTGTGTTTGGCATACAATGAAACAAGAAGACTTACCTTTTCAATTGATTTCTTGTTGTTTACTGAATATACAATGCATATAACATTGGCCTGTGCAGAGAGAGAAAACATTAGGGAGGTGAATAAAACCATAAAATCAAACTAAATTGTATAAACAAAGAGACTAAATCCATCCCCATTCCCCACCTTTGATATTTCTTGGTAAAGCTGCTCATCTGACTGTTCTGCTTCTGTGGGATCAAAAATATGAAAGGAGAGATTAAAACACAAAAGGAATAACCACTTTAGGAAAGGGTTGCGGCACTGACACTAGAACAGCAATGCAGGCTATATGAGTCTCATCATACAGAGATACATGTATCAGTACCTGAATAGTCCACTATATGAGTGGGCACTCTCTCAGGTGTGACATCAGCTGGAATAGTGATCTCTTCAGCTCTGAGAGGAACCTTTAAATGAGAAACACAATACTAATGCAATGCATGTGCCATTTGGACAAGTATTAAATTGACTTGAATTGTTCCTTTTGAACTTGAGTCATTTCAATGAATGACTGTACCTCATCAGGGAATTCCTCACTGACAAGTGACATGATCAGGGAGGTCTTCCCCACTTTGGCTGTGAAGAAAAAGAATTCTACAATGACCACTGTGTTCTAGATCTATTAATAGCACCAAATGATTAACAGGAACATGCCAGGCGAGATCTGAGTGCCTTTATAAAAGGGTGGTTCACACATTTAAGTTGTTTCACTTCAATATCAACCACGCAGCATTTAGGAATTCATATTAAAAGACTACTTTAAAAATATATATATAATGTCACACAATGTAAAAATGGACTAGCAAACAGTAAAAAGTTGATCTAAAAAAAAATAAAAAATAAGTAAACACTTTCAACTTTGTAAACATTTATGTACACTAAAATCTTTGTACACACACACAAAAAAACCTTATGGACAAGTTCTGATCAGTGTTATTTGCATATCAATGAGAAGCTATTATAGCTTTTATTAATATTTACATTTGTTTTTATTTTGATATTTTCCATTTTGATTTTAATCATAAAGTTCTAGTAATTCTGTTGTGTGTTTTAATCATTATTATATATATATATAT